GCGGAAGAATGGCAAGCGGCAAGAAAGTAACAAGCGGCCAGGTCTTCTAGAGCCAAGACAACTCCAAAACAAGCGATGACAAATCTGAACGACTTGCAGAAACTTGCCAGAGCGTCGCTGGCTCTGAATAATCAACAAATTAATTAATGCGTCAAAACCTAACTTTTAAGTTTTTAGGTTTCGAGCAAAGTATTAGTAACTATTCAGCTTTGTACTGATAGAACTTTAGATGAATCTGCATCTGAAATGGCAAGAGAGAAGTTTCCATAAATTGTGCAGTACAATAAGAAAAACCTAACGAATTTCCTGGGCACATTGTAATGATGCCGTTGAATGAGGCTGGAAGTCGTTTTAAAAACCATTCAACTTATCACTTATGAGTTGTTTGGCTCTATGAAGCCCACTTCCTGCTTAAGCAGAAAAATCTAAGTTCAAGTTCAGTGAAGCTGCAGTTTATTTTACACAATATTTCCATTATAATCATCATGCCGGTTTAGTAAAAGAAGAATTTAAAATTGAAACTAAATAAAATGGAAGAAATAAGAGCCCTATTTGAGAGACCTTTTTTATAGCTTTCAAGCGGATAGCTCTGGCCTCGTCCGAGTGTTCCAACACTACACATCTTGATAATATTTCACTGGTTAGATCATGTTGTGGTTTAAAAAAGGCATAACGACCGCAAATACTGCTGACGAAGTTTTACTGAAACTAAAAAAAATAAAAGAAAAAAGAGGTATTTTCAAATGATTACAGATGTACAAAAAGTCGTGTCAAAAGAAGAAAATGTTAAACATTCAGAAGCGTGGAAACAAACAATCGTTATCATCATATATTGTAAGTATGTGATGCCAAACGAATGGTTATGAATTCAAAAAAATTTACTTACTAGACAACAACCCTTAGAAGTAGTTCTGATAGTTCATATAATTACCATACTGCTGAAACACTAATCATCTCTGCCTTCTAACTTAATATTTGCAAACGCTTTTCCATTTGATTTACTCATTGTATTCAGGTAAAAAAAGCAAAAACAATTGGTTCTTTGATTCACTATTCTAACTGAAAAAATGATAGATAAATAAGGAAAAAGTAATAATTTTAAGCAGAAAACATAAGCATAAGTAAAGTTTCAAAGCATATATTTTTAAACTGCAAAGTGTCAAAATAAAATTGACATTGGATAAACGATATCTGAAACTGTCAATACAAACATGTCATTCTAGAAGCACCATTTAAAAAGATATAAGACGAACAAATAAAAATCTGCATACAATAGTCCATTCTTGGTAAGCCAAGTGCGTATGACAAAAAAATTAAGAACTGCCACTGTCACTGTTATCATTTCATTATTTGACGACAAGCTAAAATTTCTTCACAAAAATGACACTGTTCCGTGAGAACAAAAATTTCTTGCCTA